GACTAATACATTTTGTTTTCACAGACTGATCCTATTCAGTATGGTGAAGGTAACCCTACAAGGTTACGAACATCACAAGGTACAGTGAATCTCTGTGTCTCAGGACCAGGTCACCCATTTTTCAAGTGGCAACCATTGTGACTAGTTTCTTAGGAAATCTGCCAGCAATGTTTCTTTTTTTTTTTTTTTTTTTTTTTACTTTTTTGGTTTTTATCGGTACCAGGAACTGAACTCTCCACGGCCTGCTTGCAAGGCAGGCGCTTATGCCGCTGAGCTAAATCCCCAGCCCCGCCAGCAATGTTTTATAGACAGACAGACACACACACACACACACAGTCACATACATGCAGTAGTATAGCTTACCCCTCTCTCTATCTCTCAGTCCCTTTCCCATCTGAGAAAGGTCTACCTCCCTGCTTCCTATTATCTATATTTTTTTAAAATTTTGCTTTTATTTATAGTTCGGGCTGCTCACAGAGAAGCCATGCAGCATTTAAGCTTGTGTCTCTGATGTACTTTGCCCTTTCATCCCTGCAATTACAGCAGACCGCTCCACTGTGTGGAGGTGCCACAGTGGATCAGTGGGCGTTGGGGCATCCATGAGTCTCTCTACTCATAAGTGGCCCTGCAGTCAATGAATGTGTGCATAAATCATTTTTCACAAGTTCAAGAGTATCTAAGGATGAATGTCTACAGGTGGACTAACTGGACGGAAGGACCTGTGCATTCTTTTTATCAGGATAGATGATGCCATGTTCCCCTCCTCAGAAGTTGACTGTAACAGTTTATGTTCCACTGGGCAAGGAATGGAGTCATGAGGTCTTGGGCAGTAGTAGCCACAATGGAAGGCAGCCCAGGAAGATCAGCAAGTAATTTAAAATGTAATCTCACCCACACCAGGCCTTTGAAGTCTTTTATAAGCCACCCTAGATTGCTCAATGGGAGAGCGTCTTCTGGCCATCTTGTACACCATGTGCCAGGCTTTTTTCCCTCCCTCGTTTGTCCTTGGCACCCATGATTCCTGTTTTCGCCTTCAGTAGAGCAGATGAGGACTTCTTTGCCAGCTAGGCACCCAAGGCAAACTCCTCAGCATTGTTCTCCAAGCTGTATCATCTAACTCTCTTCTCTGGGTGAGCAGTTCTTCTTTCTCTTAGTTAAACAAATGCTCATGATTCTGCCCCTATTCAACTGTGAATTCTCCAAGGACAGAGACAGCCTCATTCATCTTTGTATCCACTGCCCAGGTAGTGCCACAAAGAGCTTCCCAATAATCATTTGTTAAATGGATGAATAACCCAGATGGAATTTTGCCAAATCAGTGCTGTCAAAGGGCTCTTTACTATATTTGTGAAACCAGGTGTGTCTGTCACTCTGAAGATTATATTTACAAGAAACATTTATTTCATCCATCAGAAGCACTTTTCAAAGGGTTCTTTATGCTTTCTCTTCATTTTTCTCTCCTCTTCCTCTTGGCCTTGTTAGAGTCTCAAGGGAGAAGTCCGTGATGGGAAACAGGCACAGTGGTGCCCACAAGCATGAAAAGGATTTGCAGGCAGTTGCAATGATAAACACAGGGCAAACACACACAGATGGGATAAATATTGACATAGTAGAAAGGAAGTAGGAGAGGAAGGGCAAAATCACTACAGTTCTGTAGGGTATAGGTACAGTTTCAGTTTCAAAGGCAGTTCAGCAGTCCCACTCTGAAATTTTTCACCTGAAATCATAGTTTTCCAAACTGTTTTTGCATCATTTTGTCAGGGCTTTACCCTTTGGAACTCCTCTTCTTGACCATTTCAATAGAAATCTCCCAAAATATCCCCCACATTTTTATGGCTTTGAGACAAACTGTCTCAATATATCAGAGACAAAGAAGGCAGGAGGGAGTAGGCTGAGAATGGGACCTATTTAGAGTCAACTTTAAGATCAGTCCGTTTTAAACAGTGGGATCTCTGTTTTGTTTCATTTTTTTGTTTTTCAGCTTTTTGTTTTGAAAATTTGCAGATTGACCCAAGTTATAAGAAAAGCACAAAGAACATCCCGGGTCAGGGATTAGCAAACATCAGCCCCAAGGGTAGTTGGTCTGACCTGTGAGCTAGGAGTGGTTTTTACGCTTAAAAGTGGTTGGAAAAAAATTTAAAAGGAGGAAGTGTGTTTCATAACACAGAAAAGTTACAGGAAATCTAAGTAGCAGTATCCATGAATAAAGTTTATTCACTGATACACATTACCTATCACTGCTTTTGCTCCATGATGGTAGTTTACTAGTTGTCACAAAAACCCCTTGGCTTTTGAAGCCCAGAACACTATTTACCTCTTTACAGTAGATCTAGATTTACTAGTCGTTAATATTTTGTATTTGTTTCTTCTCTCTTTCTTGCTCAATATTTGCGTTAGTTTTGAGACTTCATCCTTAAGTACTTCAGGATTTTTGAACTAAAACCAGGGAACTAACAGGTTTAGTGTGGGAAGAGGTACAATAAGTACAAGTATTCAACACACAGTATTTGGCACACGGACAATCTAATAAGTAATGCAATAAAAATTCCTTGAGAGGAGGTTGCCAAAACACCCGATTTGAGATCCTGAGCTTTGGTACTTTCCGGAAACCCTGGTTCTCAGAGCCCCAGAGCTAGTTTTTCCTCAGAAAGGGTTTCTTGCCCAGAGAACAGAAAAAGCCTCAGGGAACCTCATTTTTTTCCATAGCTTGTGGCTTGGCTGACTCAACTTCTGCCTTTCCCTGAGTCACAAGTTTTTCCTCTCTTATTTGGAGGAGCAGGTCCTCCACCCAGGTCTCCCCACCCTTGGCCAGCCCCTGTTGGGAAGTGGGTGGACAGTTAAAGGCTCCTTTTACACAGCCTTCCGAGCATTTCCCAAAGCTCCACTTAGATCCAGAGAACATCGGAGCTGGAGGAGAGAACAGATAAAGAGACTGAGGTCTATGTGGCCCCTGAACCACCAGGGATATGGGGCTAGGAGGAATCTGCAGGCCCCAGGACAACAATTGTCTCCCCATTCTCTGGTTTTCCAGAATTATCAAAAGCCTCCCCTTTCTGAACACTAGCTCTGTGCCAGGCAGTGTGTCAGATAGCAGGACACCATCGTAAACATGGCCCTGCCTCACAGTGGACCAGCTCCTTCTAAATCTCATGGCCACCTCCACCCCAGTCACCTCTGTTTCTCCCCAGAAAGCCCCTCTTGCTGAGGAGGTGCACGATGTGGGCACTGAGGTGGACATGGAATCTGGCCTTGAAGCTAAGCTCTTAGGCCCCTCCGCGCACACACAGTATATGCACTTGGGATGGTGTTGTCCTGGTGTCCAAAATGACCTTCTCTTGTTACAACCCACTCTGTGGGATTTCAGATCCCCTCTCTTTCTTCCTCATGTGGCGGAGAGGCCTGACTACATCAGCAAGACTCAGAAAATCAAATGTTAACCCAAGGACATGAGTGGGTACCACAGGCCAAGGGAGAAGCCAGAGGGTGGAGGAGGCCAGGCAGATAGGAAACACGAGTTCTGTTTAAAAGAGGACAGCTTGGGGCCAGGGATTTAGCTCAGTGCCTGCCTGGTGAGTGTGTGGTCATCAGTTTGATCTCCAGTACTAAAAAATAAATAAGTAAAGGGGACAGCTTGCTGTAAAGATGACAACCAGGGGACTGGGGATTTAGCTCAGCGACATAAGCACCTGCCTTGTAAGCAGGCAGTTGTGAGTTCGATCCCTGGTACCGAAAAAGAAAAAAAAAAAAGATGACAACCAGCCTTTTTTTTTTTTTTTTTTTTTGTAGTAGGAATCAGACTCAGGACCTTGTGCTTGCCAGGCAGGCACTTATGCCACTGAGCTATGTCCCCAACTCCAGACCAGCCATTTTTGAATCTTCTGAGTTAAGAGAAGCTGAAAGCCTTATTTGTTTTAAAAAAAATGTTTACTTGGCCAATATGAAGTGGTCACAGCAATGAATTTTTTTTTTCCGGAACAAAAATGAACATCACTGGAGTTAAGTTCAGAGCCTACCTAGGCTGTGGTTTTTGTTGGGTGCTCAGTAGACACTGTACTTCCTGATGAATGTCGTTTAGCCCTGGAAGACTCACAGCTTCGGGAGAGACAACTACAGAGTTAAATAAATGACTAAGGAGGTAACTTTAGGCTCTTTCTTTCTTTTTTTACCAAAAACAAAAACAAAAACAAAAACAAAACAAAACAAAAAAACCCCGCAAACCAGATGAAGTAGTTTGAGGGCAAAGGGGTGAGGTAGGGAACTGCTTTGGGGGCCAGGGAGGAGGTGACAGTTGAGGGAGGTAGACAGTACAAAGGGAGGTAGCTGAGGTTTTCGCAACTGGAAGACGTCAGTGGGCAGGGATGTGTGGGGATGAGCCCAGCAGGAGGCTGAGAAGTTGGAGCCTGAGGCTTTGGAGTTTCATGCTGAGCTGCAGAGGCAGCCAGGCAGGATTAGGCAAGGGCCAGCACAACCTGTTTCTGCTGGTGCCTCGTTGGAACGCATGGGGTCCACCAATCTGCTTTCTTTTAGTATATGTTTGAAATTTTCTGCAATCAAAAGATTTCAAAATATATAATGAAATGCTGCGGATTTTTACTGACTCAGTCTCTCGGGGTTGCCAAGCAGAGGTGACTACGTCAGCCAACAGCGGGGGGCCCCCCCGCCAGAGACGTCTGAGGGAACCTGCCCCACCGTCCCCCGCCCCAGCTTGCGCTCCAGCCCTCTGCACCCAGTCGGGGACGGCTCGCCACCACACGGCGAGCAGCGGGCGCGTGGGGTACGGCAGGAGGAAGGACAGCGGGGAAATGGGATACGAAGTGGAGAGCCCGCCCCGCTGGAGTCCAAGCAAACGCCGCCGTGCCCCAGCGCGCACCAAAGTCACTTTGGGCTGCTCCGCCCGCACACATTTCTCTGGAACTCGGGCTGGCTCCGCCCTCGCCTTCACCCCAGGCCCCGATTGGCCGAGACTCCCTAGGGGGGCGTGGCAAGGTAGTTGGAACGCGTGTCGTGGGCGGCGAGGGACCTGACTAGAGTCTCTAGCGGGTCGCCGAGGCCGAGAGGGGGTTGCGGGCCTGGGCGAGGAGGTGAGCGCTTCGGACCGTGCGGAGAGTGGGACACAGGATCCCGGGCAAGTAGGTGAGCGCTTTGGATCGTGCGGAGAGCGGGACTCAGGGTCCCGGGCAAGGAGGTGAGCGCCCCCGACCTGAGCAGAGAGTGGGTGTGGGGCCGCAGGCGCGTAGCAGGCGGGACTCTTCCCGGCGGCGGTGGCCCGGGGGCTCGGGCCCGCGCGGTGCGCAGCTGGGCGTCTGGGACTCTGCCCCCAGCAGTGGCGCGAGAAGGGTGCGCGGTGCACGCTTGCAGCTCGTTGCTGCGCGAGAAGCGGGGTGAAGGCAGGTCGTAGTCTAGAGGCCGAGGCAGGCCGCCCCCAGCACCACCCCGCGATTGCGGGAGGTGTGAGCAGGGCAGGATTCCGAGGCGTACGGGGCTGTTTCAGGGATCACAGCGTGCCGGGTGTTTAGTGAGGTTTCTGGCGGTTGTTAGGGTCTCACTTCTGGGACCTAGTCTGAGTGCTCTAGAATGTGAGCTGGGACCAAGCCGCTGTGGGGCAGGGGGAGAAGCCTTGTTCAGAGCGCAGGATTTTTGCGCTTTGAGGGTCCTCCCTGCTCTCACTTAGGCACTCTCTCTTCCCTGGAGCCTTGGTGTTTGTGACTTTTAGAAAGGTAAAAATAAAATAGGATCAGACTGTCTCCCATTTCAGAGGAAGTTGCTGAGCTTGGCTTGCCTAGGTGGCCTGGCCTCTCCTTCCCTTTCTGTGTCCTGGATCCCTGAAGTGAGAGATGTGTCCCAGCCTGTCCTCTTTGTGGGTGGGATAAGTGAAGTTTCCAGTCACCCTTAATCTTGTTTTCCGTGGACTCTTGGAATTTGAACCAAACTGTTATCTTATCACTCGAGAAACTCAGAGGGCGAAGAAGAAGGCCAGACTTGTCCAGAGGTCATCTTTGGCTCGTAATTCCCCGTGGGGTCAGTATACACTGAGAGGGGCCTGACTTTGGCTGCGTCCCTGCCCTTGTCCTCTCTTGGGGCTGCTGAGATGAGGTGACACAGCACAACTGAGCAAAAGGACCTGTCCAGCCAGCCTATACCCCAAGAGAACAAAGGGACTTGTCCAGTGGGGCCCTGAGGGCTGGCTAGCCCAGCCAAGCTGATGGACTTGCCCGGCCACCCTGTGTTTATGTGGTGCAGAGGAAGTTTGAGCATTTGGAATGAAGTCCTATTCGCTAGACCTGAAGATTTCTGATTCTGTGTGTTTGCTTGAAAGCAGCCTTCTGCAGCTCTGCCTAGTTTGGGAGCTGGGTTTCCTGGTCCCTCGCCTGGGACCTTGGGCAGTGGCTTTGATGTGGTTGGTGGTACTTTCTCTAAGTGGGCTGCCATAAGGATTAAATGACTGATTGCTAGTCATTTTTCCTGGAGGAGGGCCTTCCAGGAAGCATAGTTTTGTCCTGGAGGAGAACAAACCTGAGGGGCACCCTTTCTTGAAGGAGAGGGTATTTGGATTCTGGACTGGCACTCCTGCTGTTAGAGAAAAACTCAGATCTTCTTCCAGATGGCTCCTGCCACCTCCTGTGACCTGACCTCTCTGACCTTTGTCTTTCCTCTGCTAACTCATTTCACTCACCCTATCTTGGCTGTTCCCAAAGGCCCACTCTTCCCCAGGGCTGCCTCGCTGGTTCCTTCCTGGTTTTTCAGCTTGGGGTGATGAAACTTCCTCACAGGATGTCCCAGACACCACTTACCTGCGGCCCCTCCAAGCACAGCAGCCTTTTCCTTCCACCAGCAGGCTGACAGAAAACACCTGGTTGCTTCTTCCAGCCTGTCTCCCCCTGTAGAAAGAAGTAGGTTACTCAAGGGCCTGGTCTCTTGCTCCTGGTTGTGACCCAGAGCCTGGCTGAATGCCAGAACTGTGGGAATGAAAGTGAACTGCTGCAGTCCTGGAACCTAGAAGTCTCTAATCCCAAAGGCTGCGGCCCGAGTGGGTGATAGGAGACACTGATTTCCTCCAGGGCCCAGCACTGAGCGCCCTGTGGCTGGTCAGGTGTATCCTAAGAATAATTACAATGTGCATTTTACTGCCTGCGGTTGCCTAGATTAGACATCAGCAAACCTCTTCAGTAAAGGGCCAGATAATACATATTTTAGGCTGTGCAAACCAGTCTGTCGTCTGTGGCTGTGTTCCAATAACAAGTAAAAAGCTGGAGGCTGGCCAGGTTTAGTGAGGCTTTTCAGCCCCTGATTGTAATCACTCCTCGACTATTTTGCACAAAACTCTGGCCACATGGCACGCGCAGTCTGTTCACTCCTCTGAGTCTAGCCTCACTGACCCTGTGACAGTGTCCTCCTTTCATTAGTGTTCCGAGTGCCACTGGGGTTGGTGCAGCCATCTTCCGAGGCCCAGAGGCTGCAGGAGGCTCTCCATCTTCATGGTCTCCCTGAGGCTGATGGCCCTGAATGGCTGGGGGCAGCTGGCTCTGCTCTCCTATCCTAAGCAAAGACTGTTCACTGCGCTGAGAATACTGAAAGAGAAGACTATCATCTAACTCAGCCTGCTGTGTTTACCAAGAAAAACCTCAGGCTGTGTCAAGCCAGGGTGTGAAGTTACTGTCACATGGTGGGAGGGCAACATCTTCCTCGTCCCCTACCCAATCCGGGACCTCTGTAGGGTCACTGAGCAGAGCACAGGAGAGCCCGCTAGCTGATCAGTGTGAGGGAGCAGCTCAGCCCAGACCCTGCCAGCACCACCAGATTGCCCTGCCCTTCCCGGTCCACACTGTTCCCCCTGCAGCTGGATAGCAGCCAATGGGGGCCTAGTGGGGGTTTGGTGGTCACAGATTAGGGGCACAGTAGGGAGGAGGTCTTGCATTGGCTCTCCGAGTGTCTGGGAGATACTTTTGTGGGTTTCCCCTCTGGTGGCTGGGTCTGCCACAGCATCTCTGCCACAGCTCTGCTCGCCTGCGTGCTGCCAGCAGCCTCTGGAGCTCACTCGTCCTCCTCCCTTCCTCTTCCTTTTGTGGGGGCCTCCTAACCTCCAGGCTCAAAGCCCAGCTGCCTGGGCTTCAGTCAGCAGAGGCCACAGGATCAGTTTTCTTCTAGTTCCAGCCATAGGCAGATTTCTCGGCACCCATGTGTACTGGAGGGACCTGCGTCCTGCCTTCCTCAGGGCCCCTGGGGTCTCCCACAAGTGTCTGAGTCCTCGTGCTGTGCGCCACCCTACCTGAGGATGCAGCCAGCTCCCCCCACCATGCCTGCTTGTTGTCTCCCAGCCCAAAGAGCCCAGAGCTTGGCCCAGCCACTGTCCTGTAATTTTATTCTCTTAGAGGATCTTAAAATTAGAAAGAAAAAGAAGCACATGTTCCTGCTTCCTGAAATCGATGGCATTGGGTTATGTGATCTCTCTTGCTACCATTTCCTAATAAAAGAGATGAAATGTAAAGGTGCTGACCCGATCGGAAGTCTCCACATACCCCGTTCCTGATCACGCCTAGATCCTCCTTTCCTGGCCACTTTTTGTGACCTTGTTTTGTGCTTTTTTTTTTTTTTTTTTTTTAAGGTTCTAACCATTTTTAAGTGTATGGTTCAGATACTAAATATATTCTTTTCAAATTGAATCTCTGGGCCCATTCAACAACTCCCACCACCTTCACCCCAACCTGGCAGCCTCCAGTCTTTCTATCTCTATGTGATGCCACTTCAGGTTCTCAAATAAGTGGAATCATTGCAAAATTTTCCCTGTCTTTTCTATTAACATGATGTCTTTAGGATTCACCATGTCGTTTCATTTCTCAGAATTTCCTCCCTTTTAGCTGGTTGTAGTAGTGAATATCTGCTATCCGGGCAATGAGACAGGAGGATGAGAAGTTCAAGGCCAGCCAGGAAGAGACTGCCTAAAGCTTAAAAAAAATTCTTCATTTCCTTTCTCATTTTTTAGTACTGGGGATTGAAATCAAAGACTTCACACAGTGATACAAGGTCTTGCCAAGTTATTAAGGTGCCCAGACTGGGCTCAAAATTCCCATCCTGGGTCTAGTGACATAGCTCACAGAGCCTGCCTGGCTAGTGTGAGGTTGAGAGTTCATCCCTGGTACCCTCCCCCACCCCCCAAAATTCCAGTCTTTCTGTCTCAGCCTCCTATATTTCAGCAATTATAAGATTCATTCTTTTATTATGTTGAGTAATATTCCTATATATATCACATTTTGCTTATTCATCTGTTGAGGGCATTCGGATTGCTTCCACCTCTTGGTTATTGTGAATAATATTGCTGTGAATCTAGGCATGCAGATGTTTCTTTGAGTAGCTGCTTTGTCTTTTTGGATGTAAACCCAGAAGTGAGATTTTTGGATCATAGAATTCTGCTTTTAACTATTAAGGAAGCTTTGCCACGTTTTCCACAGGGGCCACACTGTTCTGTGTCCACACCAGTCGTATACTAGTGTTTTAATTGTGCCACATCGTCACAGACCCTTGCTGTTTGGGGTTTAATAGCCATCTTCATGGGCTTCCCCCTTACCTGCTTTTAGTCACAGTCATTATTGAACACCTTTTGAATGTTATACTAGTTTAGCATAGTGTCCCATTGCATATTCTTTTCTGCAAGCAGCTCTACTCCGCTCAGCATGTGTTGGTTTTGGTCCGTATTGGTGGCTGCATGTGTGGACCCTGCTGACAGGCACTTTAGTCGTGTCTGGGCACAGCAGTTCGTGTACTTGGTGGGGCTCCCTTCTCTCCACTCTGGCTCCTCCCTGGCAGAAACCTTATCCAGATCATCCCACGGCCTCTAGCACACACCCTGGTGGGACAGGGAGGTGGTGTGGGGCAATGTTTTAGTTTTGCCAGGTTGTCTATCAGCCAGGGATCTGCGGCTGTTGTGGCAGGATGGCTCAGAGTTTGCAAAACATAGCCAAGATCAGCAAACTAAAAATAGCATTTCTTACACAAGGTAGTGTGGGCAGCACTTCACAGGAGGCCTCGGGACCCAGAGGGACAAATGGGGGGGCCACTTGTTAGGGGGCCAGCACCTCTCCTGCTCAGTGCACCCTGCCCCCTCTGGGTGTGTATGTGTGTGCGTGTGTGTGTTCAGGCTGCAGGCGCTGTTCAGGTCTGATAATGTGTGTGCGTGTGAGGGGACAGGGTCAGCTCTGTAGAGAGCTGAATTCTGCACAGTGGGGCCTTGGGAGCTTTAGTCATTCACCAGCCACTTGTGAAGTACCTACTGTGTGCATGGGGCAGTCTCAAGAATTCTGTTCTTGTGGAGCTAAGCATCAAGTGGCAGACACAGAAAACAGACAAGCAAACAGTGAACACAAGGAAAGATCAGGTCCTGATAACTCTTGTGAAGACAAAAAAATATGGATAGCATCCTGCAGAAGGGATTGGAAAACTTGCTGTCAGGGGCCAGAGGGTAAATACTTTAGGCTCATGACCTTGTGGCCCTGTCACCACTGCTCAGCTCTATCCTTGTATCATGAAAGTAGACAGAGACAGTGCTGAACGAATGAGCATAGCTGGGCTCCAGTAAAACTTCATTTTTCGAGACAGGTTGTAGGTCACATTTGCCTCTGAGATCATCATTTGCCAACCTCAGCTGGGGAAGAAGCCTGATGTGGAGTTGACCAGGAGGCCCTTTGTCAAAGGGAGGTGGGAACTCGGCTGTTCACAGGAAGGAGCTGTCAGCGGTGTCCGATGCAGGCGAGAAGTGCCGGCACCTTGCTGCGGATCCTGTGGTAGAATTCTGTGCTGAGAAGTGAGCAGGCTCAGCTGCATCAAGGGAGATGGCAAGAGCTGTTCACAGTTTATTGTTGGTGGCCCTGGGAAGAGGAGATGCAAGGGTGAGCCCTAGGCAAATGGCGGTTCTAGTGACTGAGAAGAACTGAGAGTGGGGGAAACTGGGCGTGGGGTTCAGTGTGAGGAGCTTATAGGTGAGCTGGTGGCAGGTGGGCAGCCACAGCTAGAGCTAGTGGAAGGGCCAGGCCTAGAGACATGGGCCGGGGGTGAACGGCCTCCAAGTGGTCTTCAGAGCTGTGAGTGTGCCTGGCTCGAAGGGAATGTGTGTGAATGGAATAGAAGAGATTCCAAGAGGCCACCCGCGCTTATGGCTTAGTGTACCAGCCCAGGGGCCCAATACTTTGTGGAGGAAGATGCTACAGTATGAATTCTGTGGCCACCTGACTTACTAGGACAGCCTCAGTTTCCTCCTTGTGAAGGAGGGATCATACCTCCTCAGGTTTGTATAAGGACTGGATGGGATACACTCAGTCTTACGTGGTATGGACGAGGTACTCAGCACTTGCTACCTGTGACGATGGTGGCCGCTGGACATGCGTAGTGAATGAAGCATTGCAGGGTCTGTGATTGGTTGGGGTCGTTGACAGGACACATGCATTCTTTTTTTTTTTTTTTTTTTTTTTTTAAAGGACTGGAGAGCGCCCGCGGGTCTCGAACCACCGGACCAATCGGCCCGGGCGGTTGGGAAGCCAGACTGGAAGGAACCGCTGGGCTAAAGCCGGCCCGACACATGCATTCTTATGGTTAGATAGGTGGGTGGGCTTGCTGGGACACAGCAGGTCATATTTGGTCATATTTGGCTATGAACCCCTACTCTGCCCTTCAGCCTGGGCAAGCTCATGCCTCTCATCTGCCTCCTCCTGCAGCCAAGAACCCAGAGAAGATGGTGGACCACTTGGTGAACACGGAGATCAACAGCCAGCGGATTGCTGCCGTGGAGAACTGCTTTGGGGCGTCAGGACAGCCGCTGGCCCTGCCGGGCCGGGTGCTGCTGGGAGAAGGTGTGCTGACCAAAGAGTGCCGCAAAAAGGCCAAACCACGCATCTTCTTCCTCTTCAACGACATCCTGGTGTACGGTAGCATTGTGCTCAGCAAGCGCAAGTACCGCAGCCAGCACATTATTCCTCTGGAGGAGGTGACTTTGGAGCCACTGCCTGATACGCTGGAGGCCAAGAACCGCTGGATGATCAAGACAGCCAAGAAGTCCTTCGTGGTGTCTGCCGCCTCACCCACAGAGCGCCAGGAGTGGCTCAGCCACATTGAGGAGTGTGTGAGGAGGCAGCTGCTGGCAACCGGCCACCAGCCCACCACGGAGCACGCGGCGCCCTGGATCCCCGACAAGGCCACGGACATCTGTATGCGCTGCACGCAGACGCGCTTCTCGGCCCTCACCCGACGCCACCACTGCCGAAAGTGTGGCTTTGTGGTGTGCGCTGAGTGTTCACGGGAGCGCTTCCTGCTGCCGCGCCTCTCACCCAAGCCTCTGCGCGTCTGCAGCCTCTGCTACCGGGAGCTGGCCGCCCAGAAGCTGAAGGAGGAAGCTGAGGAGCAAGGAAGGGTTTCCCCAGAGCAGCTGGCCCACCTGGGTGGGGCTCTCTACGGAGCATCCAGTGGAGATGATGACTCTGATGAGGACAAGGAGGGCAGCAGAGATGGTGACTGGCCCAGCCGTGTGCAGTTCTATGCCTCCAGTGTCTCCTGGTCAGCCTTCCACAGTTGACCCTGGTCTGCAGACCCGCTGCACCCATACTGGTGCCACTGCCAGGGTCTGAGCAGCCCTGTGTCCCCAGAACCCTGACCCTGGTGGTGTGTGCAGAGGTGGGGGTAGTGCTTTCCTCTGGGTGTTTGGTGCCTTTTTTCTGGAGATGCCCATCCATCCAAGTCCACTTCAGCTCCACTTCAGGTAATAACCTTTCCACTTAGCAAGTCCCAGAAAACCGAGGCCTCCTGGGAACAAAGGCCATTTCCTGGCCCTGCAGGCTGTGGCTGCAGCTCCAGAAAACCCCTTAACTTAGACAACTCCTGGTGTCCAAGCACTGGGGTGCCACATATGAGTGAGCATGCAAAAGGAAGACCGGAGAGTTGAGGGTGTCCTCTGAATTGGAGCCTGAGCCCCACACCCCATTCCTGTACCACAGACACACTTCACAGAAGAACACGAGTCTGGGGAGGCCTCCCAGAAACCAAGACCTGTCCACTCACGACAGTGGTATCTACCACCTGCCCACTGAGCCCCAGCAGGCCAGACACAGAGCTCACCTAAGCCCAGCAAAAGCCTGCCATGCTGTGTGTGCCCACCAAACCAAGGGGACTGCAGCCTGAGCTCCCCACAGCCCAGGGCAGCCTAACCAGGCTGCTGCCCTGTCATACTTCTCTCAGGTGTCCAGGAGTCTGATGGCTTTTTGTGTTGTCCTCATCTCTCCCTACAGACAGTGCAAGCAATGTTTTCTGGTAGGGCTATTAGTTGTAAGGACAGATTCCCTGCCAGACTGACTTATAATAAAAAGGAATTGGTTACTGACTCATTGGTAACTCATGTTACTGGTTGCAAAATCCAGGATTCCTTGCTTTAGACATGGCCAGATTGAGGGCTGAAACCATGCTGAGGGGCAAACATCAATAGCCACCACTACAATGAGCATTGCTGGGATTGCTGGCAGCCCAGGGGAGACAGGGCTTCACACTGCACCTTGGCTGCTTCCCCAAGGACACAGCCTGCTCCGGTGTGCCATGACGGCCCGACACCTGCAGCTCTATTCACTTTGATGTGGGTTGTCCAGACAGGGGGAGGAAAGCAAACAAGGAGCCTTTGTCTGACTGCCTGGTTCTTCCAGGTTGGAAGGGATCTTCTGTGTGGTCTCCTGTCTGACCTCTGGAATGGTGCCTGTGAGTGGGGAAACTCGGCCCCACGTGTGGTCACTGGTTTTACAGTGAATGCTGACTGCAATTGGAGTCACCTGAGAGCTGGCCCTTATGCTGCCCACAGAGCTTCGGGGCCCTTGGGAGAGCCTCCTGAGATGCATCTGAACCTGAACCCCTTTGGTCTTGGCCAAATTCAAGGCAGAGTGGCATGACTGTCAGCTTGCATGATCACACTGGGGCTGGGACAGGTCCCCTCACCCCCAGTGCAGTGAAATATCACCACTGCAGCTGGTTCCCCCAATGAAGCCAGTCCTCTCTGTCCAGTTCTCAGATGTCCTTGTGCAAAGAGAACCTTAGAGGCCAACGCAGTGCCCTTTCTGAATCACGGGTCAGGGTCTGGCTCCCCTGGACCACACTGTGGGTGGCAAGGCCTGCAGCAGACTGTTGGCCACATGCAGGGACATATAAAGCATGAAGTATCCAGTACTGCATGTGATCCCACATGGGCAGAGTGACCATGCAGAGAAGGGTCAGGTGCTTCCAGAAGTTGTTTGTCTATAGGCCTTTCCTTCCTTGGCCTCCCTCAACCACACAGACTGGTTCAGGCTGGTTCTCCTGCCAGACAGGTCATAGGGTGAGGGGCTGCTTTCAGAAGACAGATCCGGTGCCCTCTCTGAAATCCCATCCAGGCACCCTCATCCCTCTGGCAAGGCAAAGAGTGCTGGCTCTGCATTGGTCTCTTGGGCCCAGTTACTTGCCTGGAAATTCCAGGCTTAAAGGGCAGTGTTCATTTGGACAGGAAAGGGGACTACCCACAGCTGAGCTGGGCACCACCATGCTTCTCTGCAGCTGCTTGCCAAAACGGTTGGGGTGGTAGGACCCCAAGCAAGTGGGGCAAGCTGGTTGAGTGCCAAGTGGCACCTTGGGGGCTGAGCTCAGGACCCACACTTGCTGCTGCTCTGAGCCCCAAGGTATTGGAACCTATATGGACCCAGGGTACAGAGTGGCCACCAGCCTTTGGAAAGCCCTTATGAGTGAAAACCTGCTTACTGATTGTGCCGTGTTGGATACTGGGAACACAGCTGTGAGATGAGCAAGGTTCCAACTGTCATGGTTCTTTATTAAGGGAGACAGGAGCACACAGCAGTGTGTGCCTAGGGCTGGGCTGAAGAGGAGGGCAGCGCTGGGCAGAGGTGAGCACATCTGATAGGGAAATGAGTGATCCAGGCCAGCTGGAGAGGTGGCATCCAGGCAGAAGGAATAGCAGGGGCCAGAGGGGAAAAGGAACCCAGGTATCTTGGAGCCATGTGGCTGGTGCTGAGGCCAGGGGCATCCCAGAGCCACTGACTCGGCAAGGAGCAATTTGCTTTGAAGAGCTGTCCCTGATTGTTGGCATGCAGATGGCTGAGAGGAGAGTGGGGTTGTCAGGCATGAGGGATGAGGGCTCTGCGGCCCCTGGCTCCCGCAGGGATTCCCAAGGGGAAAGGGAGGGGGACTGAACCCCATCAAACCTGGATCTGCAGCTTCCTGCCAGCAGTGTTGGACAGGGAACCTTAGGTGGTCTCTCAAAAGGCTGGTACCTTGCTGCTCTGCTGAATGTTAAATAGCACCCACCTCATCTCAGCCTCCTGGGTGACAGTGCAGTGACCTGGGCGAGTGCTGATGTTGAGTGACAATGGTGCCCTAAGCTGCTGAAGCAATGGGGATCGTGCTAGAGGGGATCAGGTTCTTGTGAAATAGAATGTGGGAGCCTGAGAAGGGAAGACACTGCCTGGAGACTGAATACAACCCCCAACAGGTGTTTTTCCCTTCAGAGACATCATCAGCCAGGCTTGAACCAAGGTCAGGCCAGACTGCATTCGGGGCCCCCAGACGCCAGCACAAGTCACCTACCATAGCCAGGCTGCACAAGCCCTTTGGCTGCATCGCTTGCCTTGTGGGTACCATAGGTCAAAGGCACAATCGCAGCTGAGGGAGGTCCTGAGAGTATCCTAAGCTACTGCCCAGGAAGGGGAGGAGCTCTCTCTAGATTTCACAGCCTCTGCTGCTTGCAGAAGTTTCCCTTTCCCAAGGACAGAGCTGGGCAGGAGCACAGGACATAACTGGGTGAGGGCCAGGCCCTCATATGCCTGCCTGGGGCTTTGCCTGTGAGGCCTAGCAAGGAGGTGGGGACCAGCTGTCCTGCCAGCTAAATGTTCCCATCCACTGCCCTCACATCTGTCTTCTCAGCTGTGCAGGGATCTGTGTCCCTGTTAGAAGCTGGTCCTTCTCACATTGGTTCCCCTGGGCGGTTCTGCCATGCCCCTGGGGGAACTGCAGAGAGGACCTGAGAGTCAGGCCTGTGCTTTTGAGGGGTATTGGAGCCCACCACCCAGCTAAGTCTTAGCTGAGACACCGTCAGTGGGAGCAGCTCCAGGTGGGAAGGGAAGTGGCAGCTGTGGTTTCAGAACCCCAGGGGCCCATGACAGGTGGGCCTCTGGAGTTCCGCACGGTGCAGGGTTCCTGCAGGCTTCAGATGGTAGATTTGATCAAGAGGCCCCAGCCTGTGAGTTTTGGCTGTTGGGATTTCAGGGTGCCAGATTTTCTTAGAGAAGAGCCCACCTGCACCACCAGTGTTAATAACATTCAGATATAGTCTGCTGGAGGCCAGGGAAGCCCTAGGAAATTCCTAGAATTCCAGGAATGACAGTGGTGGGGTGCTGGTGCTGCTGATAGCAGTGACTGTCACTAAGGCCTGTGTGTGTGCTGGCTTCAGAGGAGCAGAGCCAGGGCACACAAGGCCATCCGAAGGCTAAAGAAAAGATGGCCTGGGTCCTGAAAAAGAGACAGGAACTCCTAGCACAGCTGGGAGGGCTTCCTGCAGGAGGTGTTACTTGGTTGCCCCTCAGAGGATGTAAGCCTCTATCAGAGGATCAGTCTCCATCCAGAGGAGGAGGCCGTTTTATTCCCATGCAAGACCCAAAAGTATGAAACTACTGGAATAAAAGACAGGCAAAACACTTGAAAATGGTGATTTATAGAGAGTGATTTTTTAAACATGACTCTAAAAGAACAGGAAACGAGAATAAGAATAAACAGATGCTAGAACTGGGTGTGGTGGCGCATTCCTATAATCCCAGTATTTGGGAGGCTGAGGCAGGGGGATTATTGCAAATTGAGACCAGTCTGGGCTACAGAGTGAGCCCAAGGCCAGCCTGAACTGCATAGTGAGATCCTGTCTCAAAAAGACCAAAAATCAATCAAATAAAATAAACAGATGCTATTATGTCAAATAAAAAGCTGCACAAACCCAGGTGGGTGGCTCACACCTGTAATCCCAGCCCTGGGGAGGCTGAGGCAGGAGGATTGCCGTGAGATCGAGGCCAGCCTCGAACTACATAGTTCAAGGCCAGTCTGAACTACTCAATGATACCTTGTCTCAAAAAAACAAAAAATCTGCACAACAAAGAAAGCAATCAGCAGAATGAAGAACTGTCCTGCAGAACAAAAGAATGGGAGAAAATATCTATCTGACAAAGGATTCATATCCAGAGTATATAAGGAACTGGAAAATCTCAAAGCAATAAAAACCAAGTCATCCAATTGAAAATTTAAAAAAGGGAAGGCAATCATCTGAATAGACACTTCTCAAAAGCATAAATACAAATGGCTATATATATATATGTATATATATGAAAAATGCTCAATATCATTAGCTATCAGGAAAATGGAAATCAAAAATTACAATGAGATAGCATCTCACCTTAGAATGCCACTAGCAAAAAACACAATAAATAATGCCAGGAGAATGTGGAGAAAAGAGAGCTGTCATGCCCAGTTGGTGGGAGCATAAATTAGAACAGCCATTCTGAAGCACAGTGCAGAGGTTCCTCAACCAAAAATAGCTCATCACATGAGCCAGCAACCCCACATCGGGGTTCACATCCAAAGGGAGCGAGATCATGCACTGGAGACACTGCACACGCTTTTTTACCGCAGCGCCGGACACCACAGCTAAGATGTGGAATCCACCTGGGGGTCCGCCATGGATGAATGGGATACTGGGTCCCTTTGTTAACTCTTCTGTTCCTTGGATCTAAGCACATGTTAAACAAATGAGTCAACTAGGAAATGGGGCTGGAGCACTGAGGCAGAGGGGTGGCAACCCCTGTCTGAGCTTCACACTGGATCCATGTTGGGTGGGTGGTACCCCTAAATAACAAGGCCCTACTGGAGCGGGGCCAGAAAGAGGCTCCCCTCAGACGCTGACTGGCTGTTCTAGCAGGCAGAGGCAGGACACACACTCCACAGTCCACTGGGCAGAGTTTTCTGGGGACATGCTGTCTGCCCTGCCTGTAGACCTGGGCCCAAGCTCTTCTTTGGGTCAGCACCCAGGCTGGTGGCATCAGAGAACTGTTGGCAGTCTGGTGTCCCCTACCCTCCTAGGCTGTTCTTTGAATACAGCCATAAAGGGGCTGCTAGAGGAAGTCAAGTCAACTCCTTGGCTCAGTGCCACTCAGGCAGGGACTTGGGGGGCCAGAAGGATGCAGTGACTAAGACACTGACCCAGTTCTCAGCCAGATCTGAGGTCTCTGGGGCCATATATGCAGACCAAGGCGGCCACTTCCACTCAGCCTCCTGTGACCTGTGCCTGCAGGAAGTGACCCTCCGTTGGGCTGC